TAAGCTAACAGATGTTCCTTCCTTTGCAGCGAAGACAGACGTGGCCCAGTGAGAGATTTCCACATTTTGTTTGTGCCACGACGTAGCTTGCTGTGCGAACAGCGGTTGAAGGATCTGGGTGTTTTGGGATCCTTTATTCATAGGGAGGAGTACAGCTTAGATCTCATTCCTTTCGATGGGGATCTCTTATCCATGGAATCAGAGGGTGCGTTCAAAGTAAGTTTGGCATTTCCTGAACATCAGACTTTAATTTTTACCAGATTTATGAGTGTGGAAATGTCATGATACTGCTTTAGTTTGTGTGACATGATCACTGTGAAGCTGAGGCCATTTCATGTGTTTATTGATGTTTAATATTTTCTCTTTGGCAAATTGTCTGTTCATTTTCTTGCCCATTTTTTCTTTTTGAGGAATTCTTTATATATTCCAGATACTAATCATTATGGGTTATAAAAGCTGCAACAGCGAGGCGTAGTGGCTCATGCCTGTAGCCTCAGCTTCCTACAAGGCTGAGGCGGAGGGATCGTTTGAGTCTAGGAGTTCAAGGCTGCAGTGAGCTATGATTGCACCTACGAATAGCCACTGCATTCCAGAGGGAGAATGTGAAACCCTGAGACTCCCAATCTTAAAAAAGAAAAAAGAAAATTAAAGCTTCAAAATGTCTTCTCCCAGTCTGTGGCTTGTCTTTTAACTATGTTTGTAATGTTTTTTCATCATGTAGACATTTCCCATGAAAAGTACCTAATCCCAGCCCTTTGGGAGGCTGAGGCTGGAGGATTGCTTGAGCCCAGAAGTTCCAAAGACCAGCCTAGGCAATATAGTGAGACCTCTTTCTATGTCACATGTTGTCAGAAGAAACAATTTGTTTTAAATTAGCTAGGCGGAGTGGCACGTATCTGTAATCCTAGCACTTTGAGTGCCGGGTGAGCAGTTTTCTTCCAGAAACCCCAGCTCTGCCTGGGAGAGCTGCTTCCACGGCTGCACCCGACTGCAGGGTTGCCAGCCTCGTGGTCTGGACTGCCAGATAGCAGCTTTGGACAACACACTCGAGTCCCCCAGCTTCCCCAGCAGAGTGTGAAAGAAATGGAAATGATTTTATCATGTGTCGCTGGATCCCAGCCCCAGGAACAGAGGCGGGCACCTGGCAGGCCCCTTGGAGGTTTCCGCAGCCTGACAGTACCTGTCTTTCCCCCCACAGGAGTGCTACCTGGAGGGCGACCAGACGAGCCTGTACCATGCAGCCAAGGGGCTGATGACCCTACAAGCTCTGTATGGAACGATCCCGCAGATCTTTGGGAAAGGAGAATGTGCTCGGGTGAGAACCAGCTGCTTTCTGGCCGTGAAGGAGGGCGCCCAACACAACCCACAACCCAAGAGTGTGGAGGAATGGGAAACTCTTCATGAGCAAATACAGTCGATCCTCATTATTTATGAAATCTGCACTTGTGAATTTGCCTGCTCATTGCAATGCATTTGTAGCCCCCGCGTCACTGCTCATGGTGCTTTTGTTGGAGGGCACCGAGGGGTGAAAAGCATCAGTCACCCATGGCGCCTTCTCCCAGCTGAGGTTGAACAAGGCCATGCTCTGCCTTCTTGTTTCAGCTCCCAGACTGCAAACAAGTGTCCTTTACACAGTCCTATGTAGTGTCACATTTTTTCACACTTTTGTACATTTTTGTTGGTGATGTTGCTATTTAAAATGGCCTGTTGGCTCAAGTCTAAATGTCGGGATGGGTGGCCAACAGCAAGTGCTTTTCTAGAGCTGCTTGTTTTTTATGAATCTCACTCTTCCAGTTTTCCTCCTTTTTGACTTTTTTGATTGTCTTTCTGTTTTTAGCTGAATTTTAAAATCTGCTAGTTCCCAGGAGGGTCCCACCTGATGCAATGTTTTATTTCCAGCAAGTGGCCAACATGATGATCAGGATGAAGAGAGAGTTCACAGGAAGCCAGAATTCAATATTTCCCGTTTTCGATAATCTCTTGTTGCTTGATCGAAACGTGGATTTATTAACACCTCTTGCCACTCAGCTCACGTACGAAGGACTCATTGATGAAATTTATGGCATTCAGAACAGTAAGTAAAGTATGTCTGTTTTCACTAATAGGTAATATAATAAAAGTATCTTTTATGTGGAAGCTACCACTTCTGTTTTGCATATTGAAGCATTATTTGAAATTAAAGATCAAGTTTTTTTTTTTTTTTTTTTTTTTTTTGAGTCAGGGTCTTACTCTTTTGCCCCAGGTAGAGTGCAGTGGTGTCATCATAACTCACTGCAGCCTGGAACTCCTGGGCTCAGGTGATCCTCCCACCTCAGCCTCCCAAGGAGCTGGGACTACATATTTTGGTTTTTTTTTTAATGATTATAAAAGCATCTGTATACATAAGAATTTTTCATAGATCAGATTATTTTCTTTCCCTAGATTCCCTGATGCAGGATTTTTGGGGTTAAAAGGTGTTACATTATAAGGCGCTTGGTACATGTTGCCAAACAGCTTTACTGAAGAGTTACATCAGCTTACGTGGCACCAGCAGTTCGCGAGGGCATGTGGTGTTCCAGGGAAACGGCGACTAAACTGGTTTGGCCGGAGCAGAGGTGGAAGAAGTAGATTAAGGCTACTTTGCAGAATGCTGAGGAATTTGGAAGCTTATTCTAGATTAGGGTGGACACCTTTTCTGTAAAGACCCAGATGGTAAATATTTTGGGCTTTTGCCAATTACACAGTGCAGGTTATACAGAGGAGTCTTCTTACCTCTGCCGTCGGAATGTGAAAAGAAGCCATAGACAATACAGAAAGATGCGGCTGTGTGCCAATAAAACTTTATTTACAAAAATAGGAAGTGGAAAGAATTTGGCCCTCAGGCCATGGTGTCTGATCCTTACTCTAGAGTGGCTTTCAAACTGCTTTGGACTGAAACCCCTAGGAAGAAATATATTTTATATAATGACCCAGTATAAATACACGTGTGTGTGTGCATGTGAAACTGAGACAAAAGTTTTATTAAAGAAAAAAAACTGGCAGGGCGCGGTGGCTCACGCCTGTAATCCTAGCTCTCTGGGAGGCCGAGGCGGGCGGATC